CCCCCCCCCCCCCCCCCCCCCAGCTAACCGATTTGGGAAGCATAACAAGAAGCGGGCGGGGATACACCACCGGGGCACATACAATACTGAAGCCAAAATGACAACCTTTTCAATGAAGTTTGCCTCCCCTTTGAACATGGCCAGCTTGGGACTGTGCCAATAACGTGATCAGGAGAATGTGCACCTCAGCAGCCATAGTTGGAGATGCTTTGCGAAACGAAAGCATCTTAAATTGATTCTCGGGCCCTGGAAAAGTTCTCGGAGATGAGATCAAGACCCGAAGTTTACTTTTCCATTCTGGCTCATCGCATTTCGCGCAGAGTGCGTGCACTCCAGATTCACATGTCAGGTTTGATCTCCCTTTTTCGCACCCTGTTGTCCCAAACGACCGTCTTCACAGCAGTGCGGCATCCAAGCGAAACGTCACAGGAGCAAGCACGCAATGCCCTGGACGGTGCCGGCGGGGATGTCGAGCGAGTCTGGCGCTCGGAAAATGCGCTGTTTCCGGGGTCGGAAACGACGCCTCTTCTTTGCCCAAGCGGTGTTTCGTCACGAGCTCGGGTAGGATCTATGTGTCGTTTCATTCGGAGGAGCTGTTCTGGACTGACTAAGCTGCGCGCACAACAGTATGCCCTGGGAAGTCCCAGCATGTTATGACTGCTATGAGATATGAACCATGACTTTCAGCCGCAAGCTTCAGAAGTACACGGCGACCCATGGCTTAAGGTGCAACAAACCGACCCAAGAAGGTGAACAAGAGCTTGGCTTGGAGATTCCAGGATTGCCGGCTGCGGTAGAAGTGAGGCATGACGGAGCTGGGTATTCGGCTTCGGACGTGTCTATGCGGAGGGGGCAATCCCAAGCGCAACTGAGGCGGCTAACTACCTCACTAGTCAATGATCTTGCGGAGCTGCGCTTTCTCTGCAGGCGCTGACCTCAGCTCACTCAGATTCGCAGCTTCGAGCGTGGCTTTGTGTTTTGCCTATGTGGCACGGAGTCAGATGTGCGAAAGCAGTGGAAAAACGTTCTTGGAGTTTTGTCAAGCCAATTGTCGTGCATTTCACAAATTCCCTCCAACAGCTTGCTTTACTTCGCGGGCCTGCCTTGCAGCACTGGCTGTGCACGGCTCAGGCTCGTCGGCGTGTTTGCACCTCACTCGCCCATGCCGTGAGGTTTGAGCCTGTGAAAATGGCGGGTTCCACGAGTCTGGGGTGTTGGGTCTGGCCTCGCCTAAGGCTAGTCCTAAAACCTGGGGTGTTGAACACATCAACGCTGACATCTTATGCCGCGTGGATAAGCTGCAGACCGCGGAAGGCCATACAAGACGAAAATACAGCCGGAACTTGCTTTTCCAGGGAAAGCACGAATCATCTTTTCCAGTCACAGGGGGAATTTTCAATGAAGCGGCTCAGACTTCAAGGCTCGCGGTTCTTCATGGATTATAACGGTGTAGCAAAATCGGCCGTGATCAAAGTCGAAGTCGCGAGAAATCCCCTCTTAGATGGTTGTGCGCGGACTCCCTTGTTGAAGCGTTTGAGAGCTGATTGTCCACCTACTAGATCTTGGATTCTGGGAAAAGGTGGCAGGATTTGTGAAAGACATATACAAGCTGGTGCAGGCTTGCGCGGCTCACAAAAGAAGCCTCCATGCCCCGACCATCCTTGACTGTTCTATATAATATGTCATCGTAAGGCAGCCCGGGAGAGGCCGATACGCCTGGAGTAATATCTGTCGACAGGACAGAGCTTTATATGCATTCTTCTGGGAAAAGGCCCTTTAAAAGCCCAAAGCCCTACACCGCCTACACCCTGGTTCCAGAGCATCAAATTCGAGACTGCTCACGTCCAGCTGAATACTGCGGTGTTTAGCCTACCGACAATCTTCACTGTTGTTGGCTCTGCTTCATAAGGCTAGCACGATGTCTATTGTCAAACGGATGATGCTCAAAAGCTTTGGCATGGTTCGGGCAGTTGCTGGGCCCGAAGCTCGTGGAGTTAAAGGCAGGTTCACGCATCGGTTTGACTTTTGGGGTTTGCGATCTAGACTTTAGAGGTTTAGGAGGGAAGAAGTTCGGAAGAATGAGACTGTCACCCTGCAGTACCTTCGCGAATTCTCTAAAGTTCAAGCGTGTAACCCTCGAGAATGAACAAGCTCAGGCACTTGACAGGGAGTCAGCCACACAACTAGAATCATATGGACACGTTGTTTTCGGCAGGTGCGGCTTGCGCTGATTCAAGTGCCGGAGGGTCACACAATCTTTCAGCCTCCTTGCAGTGTTGATACATCTCAGCACTCCCACCCTCAACTAACAGCGAGCAAACTTGCAGAAGGAGGAGCACTCTTTTGCTCAGCTCTCCGGTGCTTCGAGCGTTGTGCCTGCCCTGGGAGGATCAGAGCTTGCATGTGTCTCAACTTGTCCTGCAAATCTCTGTGGACCCGGCAACACCTAGACGGCGTCTTCGGTCTCAGCAGGGTTTTGGAACCGTTGTGGCCAACTCGAGACAGTCCGGAACCTATCAGTTCCAACGTTCCTGCGACTTCGTAATAAATCAGTCGACACTACCCGTATAGGCTGCCAGCTTTTCGGGCTAAAGCTAGACAAATCAGGGCTTGAAGATTCTATTTTTTTTGGTTTGATCCGCAGAGGTTTTTAGTTCAGTAGTCGTGTGACAGCCCCGCTCGATGCTTGCCTGCAAGTCCGCTAATGTTGAACCCAATCGGGTGCACATCCACGATGCTCCTCTGGCCCCGGACCATCGCATGGCCAGGCAATCCTCCAAAACTGAACAACAAACTCTTAATCTACCAACTATATTGAGATGTTGAAGGCTGTGTCGAGTTGCATCTAAGGGTATTGAGACCATACTCTCCTGCGTCGATATGCGATGCCCAACGTATACCACTGCAGGCGTAAGCCCACATTGCCAGCTGTGAGACTGTAGGACTGCCCGTAGTGAAGACTCCATTCGTACGCTAGCAATCAATATGCATAGCCGGGTCACATCCAAATCCTGTATCCTAAAGAGCCCACCTGCCAACACGAGACAACGGCCCGAATATCCTCGTTCAGATGCATCCTGCAAACAAGCCTTCGATCCCGAAATCCTGCCTGTCTCAGTGAAACATGGTCGTAACTCAGCAGGCTGTGCAGCCTCCACGAAGCTATTGCGTTTCGCACCAACCTAAAACAAGATCCAACTGTTGCTTTGGAGGGTTGGTGTGGAGTTTGGCTCGAAGCAGCCTGGCATTCTGACGAAACCCTGTGTTCTCCGAGCGGAAAAGGATACGAAAGGGCATTGTGGGTTCGCGGGCTAGTCCGATGCAGGATGCGGCTTTCAGCCCTGGATTTGTGACAGTTCAGACGATCGTCTCTATTGAAGCCACGCTATGCCCAGTAGCCTCATGAACACATGCTTATTTTTGAGCTTTCGACCTGCTTGGATAGTCACATCAGGACAACACCCTGCACTCATGATTCCGTACTAAGTCTGGGCGCACAGAGAAGGTATGAAGGGAAGACACTGTGGATGGTGAAAACACTTGTGAGAACTGGTTTCCCTGTTTCAAGCAGCCTTCGCAACTGCTAGGAAAAGCCTTTGGAGAACCGAAGAAGTTAATCGCTGAAGCTAGGCACTGAGGCCCGACCCTGCCATACTCCCGAATGCCTGAACCCGAAGGCCCATTCAGAAAAGTGAACGAACTGGGTATCAACATCACGAAAGGCTTAGGCTAAGGCGATGTGAGAGTTGGCAATGCGCTTTTTCTCAGAGGTTGAACATCGAGCAAGTCGGCTTGGAAGACTTCGACGAGGAGGAGGAGCGGTAGCGGGAGCTGAGCAGAGCTGGAGTGGGCCGCTGTTCCCTCTGCCACACCACACTGCACTGCACACTGTCGACAGGCGTTTCAAAACTCTCTGCAAACTGGCTCTCCTATTCCAGGCCCCCAGGATTCTCAATCCAACGTCCCCTCGCCGCAGGAAATCGAGCTCGGTCAGACTGAGCAGCAGAAGCAGGACTTACAGCTCTGCCAAGCTCGGAAAGTTTTCAGTGTGATTTGGGAATGGCGTGGGATTTTCGCTGGACGCCTACAGGCTTAGGAACGCTTGCACGGAATGCACAAGCCCATCAAGCCAAACCCTGGGGGTGCAACCGACAAGGGCGGCCGCTCTTGAGTTCAGGCCAACTGCCGTGTCAGGATGGGTAGTCGCGACGGGGGCATTGCGCACGCAAAAGTGGCTGGGCCAGAAGTGCTTTGGGCCGTAGGCTGCCCTTGAGAAGACTTCCAATTCCACAGAGTGGCTTCTGAAGCCTTGCTTGTTCTCCACGGTCCCGACACCGAACTTTCTTCTACCTCCAACCCTCAAAAGCGGACTCGAAACTCTACTACCGAAATATCATTTTGTTGGACCCGACAATCTAATTTTCCAGTTTCAGCGGAGTACTGAAGTATTGCTGTTCTGATGAAAGCGAGGGCACACGTATTGGTTTCCGAGTGCTAGGATCGGCAAAGAACTGTATTTAGAAGTGAGTAGTGCCTTAGAGCCTAACGATTTCCCAGGGCCCTCAGCATGTATGCGGCCCCTTTGGCCCCAAGTCTAAGCCGGAAGCAATGAAGAGCAAGGCCCACTGCTCCGGAAACATCTCCAAGCTGTTGAAATCACTTGCTGTAGCTGCCAGGAGAGCGCCACGCGGAACCTCACCGAGGGCGACGATGCTCTCCGCGAGGCCACTAACTAGAGCTACCTACCACGAGTTGAGGCTGCGCTCTAGGCCCAGCCGAGACCGATAGTACAAGCGGAAAGTATGAAAGGTCCGCAGCAGGTAACAAACAGAGGCAAACACATGGAAAGCAGCGACGATATCCCCTGACAGTTCGAGCGAGTTCGCAGGCACCTGAAAGGAGTAGAGTAGACATTCCGGGCACAAGGCAAAGGCTCTGTTTCAGGCAGGCACCTGAGAGCAAGATTCTCTCTGAGTTCTCCGCTCTAGCAAGCCTTGTGATCGCTCGCCAAGAACACTGAAGACTCATGATATTGAACTCGGCTGAGCAGCTCCGAAGCTAGGACATCAAACGGCGGCAGCGGGAAGCAGCCCGCTTCATCGTCAACGCTGCCAATCTCATCGCTCCGGTCCGCGGGGGCGGGAGGGGGGGGGGGGGGGNNGGGTGGGGGGGGGGTTATCATCCGGATCTGCAGTCAGATATCCTAGGTCCTTGGCTGGCGGTCTTGCTTTGCCGCGAGGGCTCCACCAGGGCTTCGTTTGGATTTCGCTGTTTAGTGCAAAAAACGTGCATGTCAGCTTCGAGGTTTGGGACGGCCAAGGGAATCATCCCTGAGAGCTTAATAGCAAGAATCGCGGAAAGAGGGCGAGGCTGCCTTTTCATGGAGATTTTTGTCCGCCGGATGGCAGACTCAACGCAGGACCTGCGGTCCTTAGTTCTATTCGGGACTTGCAAGGCTCGGGGCTTGGAGAGCTGAAGGGGTTGGGACAGTTCAAAGTTTGCCGGACTGATGTTCGTGGCAGCAGTTCGGGAGGCA